GAGCTCATTAAGGAGCTCGTTAACTCAAATTACTCTATCAACTCAATGCAAAAAATCGGCCGAGAGACAGCTGGTATCTCAAAAAACTCGTTAGTCGGGACACTCGTAAGTCAAGGCCCCACTGTATAATAAAGAGGTAAATGCAAAAAATATATATTTTTAAAAATTATGTTAATGGGGTAAAAACAGGGATGACGCACGCAATGTCAGCCCAGGGCCACCAGATGGCAGATGGCATCCACTGTGCAGGCAGGTGGCCTTGGGCTGGGACCAGCTCTGGCGCAGGCCCAGGGGAGCCCGTCCTGTCCCCTTACCCAGCACCCTGCGACGCTTTCCCCCATAGAGACCTGCCCACAGAGGAGCTCGTGAAAACCACCCTGCACAGCGGTCTCCTCCTGTCCGTCCCCCCTGGACACAGGGTCTGAGCTGTCTCAGGCCCATCCCTTCTGAAATCCACCCTCCTGGTGAAATGGAATCTCCAGGGGGAAAAAAAAAATCTCTCCAGGATTGTTTATTAGGGCAACCACATGTCTGGCAGGAAAACCAGGCCTGTGAACACTTACTCGGGCGTTCTGACTGCCAGCGCGGTGGGTGCCGGCTTTGACGTAATCCCAAACCTCAGCCGGGGAGTTCATGGTGTTACTCACCCCGCTGGGCATGAAAGAAAGGCTTGCATGGGGGTGGTGATGGCTGGCCCAGAGCGCTAGAGTGAGGCATAAGGGATGCAGGCCACCCAGGCAGTGAAGTAACCCCCCAGAAATGCAGGACCTGCAGTGGAACGGAAGCAGAGCAAGCAGTCATTCCAGGGCCCTTACTCAGGGGTGCTGACAGTCCCTCGGCCTGCAGGCCTGCGGTGCGTCAGCCTCCCATTCGGAGTGTTATGGAGACGCTACCAGGAAGTAGTCGGAATCTAGCAATTGGAGCACGATGGTTGCCCAGCGCTGGGTCGTCAGCACTGGGCCCTGTTTTTATGTTCCGTTCCAATAGCAATGAATGATGAAGAACCTAGTTGTTGAATGGAAACTCCATTCCCGTGCCCGGGTGATGCTGGAGAGTTATTACTAGTATTTCCTCCTTTGTTTCTGTTTTCGGATGCAGGGAGAGAAGAAGCAATACTCAAACACAGTATGGACCGTAGTGCTGACCCACTGGAGACTTGGGTGACTCACGAAAAGCAGGATCTAATCTTTACGTCGGGATTGATGAATACGCCCGACGTGTTTTAGAAGCACTTTCTTATTTAATCTTCGTGGCAACAACTTGGGGGTTGGCATTGGTCCCGTGTTTCAGATGAGGAAACTAGGCTCAGAGAGGTTGAGCAGGTTGCCCAACGCCACACAGCTAGGCAACGTGAGAGCTAGGACCTAGGACCAGCTCATTCTGACTGCAAGGCCTGGGTTTGGTCTCCTGCACCAGGGCATTTCATAGACTCACAGAACCTCCAAGTTGGGAGGGACCTGGGAGGTCACTTAGATGAACCTTCTAGACCAGGCAGGCACCCTTTTCCATGAGTTGAAAGTCAACATGCACATAAATGTTGTGCTGAAATCAAAAGCTGATCGAGCCCGACCGGCGTGGCTCAGTGGTTGAGGGTCGACCTAGGAACCAGGAGGTCACGGTTCGATTCCCGGTCAGGGCACAGGCCTGGGTTTCGGGCTCGATCTCCCAGAGGTGGGCATGCGGGAGGCAGCCAATCAAGATTCTCTCTCATCATTGATGTTTCTATCCCTCTCTCCCTCTTCGTTCCTCTCTGAAATCAATAAAAATAAATTACAAAAGCTCCCTGGGTACTAGACAAAGCTCACTGAGTGGGGCGCAGGGAGGGGACCGGCCTCAGGCCACACAAGTTGGGGGGCCGAGCCAGAAATACACACAGCACCCTGTGCCCCCCCCCCCGGGCCTTGGCACTGCTCGTCCTTGTCCCTGCCACGTCGCACGTCTCACCATGCCTAGCTCTGTGTGAATTTGGGGAGGAAACCCCAAACCAGGGTTCAGTTTTCATTCCATGCCCGAAACTTGGCCCGAGCTCATGAAAACGCTCCCTGTGGTGTGGGAACCTGCAGGCAGACGAGCCGGGTTTCTGCCCCGCATCCGCCCCCACCGGGGCCGGGAGGGGTTCCTGCGCCTGAGCGGGGACCAGGTGCTCGTTGGCCCGGAGTGGCCCTGGGCCACCAGAGCGCCACCACGCAGGCCACAGCTGCTGCCAGTGCCTCGCAGCTCAGACAGGGCGACTGGGGGTGAGAGACAAGGAGGCGATGATTGAGGGAGCCTGCCTCTCCATTTGCAAATGAAGTTATGGAAGCTGCAGGGAGATTGATATTGGTAATTAACCGGTAATGGCTGCGTAAAGCTGCCTGCGTCGGAATTCCTGTGAAATACTGAAGGGACGGCGGCCCTTTGGAGAAATGTCTTATTGTGTAGCATTTTCAGAAGCAATTTGGGTTTCTGTAGCACTTATTGACTTACATTTTTATTGATTTCAGAGAGGAAGGGAGAGGGAGAGAGAGAGAGAGAGAGAGAAGCATCGATGATGAGAGAGAATCATGGATCGCCTGCCTCCTGCACGCCCCGCACTGGGGATCGAGCCCGCAACCCAGGCACGTGCCCTGACGGGGAATCGAACCGTGACCTCCTGGTTCATAGGTCAACACCCAAGCATTAGGCCACACCGGCCGGGCCAAAGGTATTCTTTTCATGCACAGACCGAAGTCAAGGCAAGGCCGGGGGTGGAAGAGGGAGCCCACAGGATAAGACTAAACATCTACCGCCCTTCAGCACAGCAGGTGCTGGGCACACGGAGTCTCAGGAGGATTAAAAACAGAAGATTCCATCCGTCATTCAAAGACACGGATTTTAAATGCAATTACTGTATCTAATTAGCGGCTTCATCTTCGGTGCCAGTGAATCTGGAATGTAATCTCTGATTGCACAGAATGGAATACTAAGCAGCTGACTCCACGAAAGGGCGGGTGTAGCTCGTTGCTGACGGTTGGACGGTGTGGTCGCCATGGACAAATGGTAGGAAAGGGATGG